CAACAAGTATAATAACATAACCAAACGAGGGTCGGCCTTGGTGCCTTAGACCTGCTAATCCAGTGAGGAAACTCACCTCAATGTTGAAGCTCACTACAAGAAATCCCTAGCTGCTGCCCTGACGACACCTCCGATCTATCAGATCAAAATAACACCCAATTAGAAATCGGGTTCCATTCTAAGGCCCACCATCCATACTTGGGGTAAAATGATCATTTTACTCCTGACCCAACATGAACCAAAATTGAGGCCCAAATCCAATAACCAAAATGCCCAAAACCAAAAAGATCCACAAAGGCTAATGGCCCAATTTTCCAAATTGGACCCAACCCCATATTAGCCTTATCCTAAGCCCATAATTTCCTTAGTTACAATTCAGATTACCTCAAGTACCCCTTAGAAAAAACTTGGTCAAAGAAAAAAGTCAAAAAGTCAAGATCGACAATCCATGTTGACCCAACACGCCGTGTTTCTCCATCAACTTGAAACGGGGAAAACCAAGCCAACACGCTGAGTTGACCAACAAACTCGCCATGTTCGCTTAAGACCCAACAACTTAATACATTAAGCTACCTTCATCGAATCCAAGAGCTCCAAAGCTCATATCTCAACCAAAATGAGATCTGGACGGGTAAAGTTTCCAACTTTACCCCTAGGACCCACCGAAATGAGTCCAAACCCGAACCCTAGACTTAAAAAGAGTGAGGAATTAATCATTAATCACTTAATCATCAAATACATAGCCCCAAAATACAGATCTGACCCCTTAAAGCTAAAAGGCTACGTAAAGTTTCCAACTTCGTGCTCAAGCATGACTAAGAGGAGCTCAAATGCTCAAAAAGGGCTAAATGAAGGACTTAATGAATGCAAGAAGCCCTTAAATCCATAAAGTTGGCACCTTTATGCCAAAAGAGTCCGTGAAATCACCAGATCTGAAAGAATAAGGCTTTTGGACATCCTAATCCCATCATCCATCCAAACCATGGCTAAAACATAACAATTTAACCCAAAAGAGAGATCTAAGCATCTAGCAATCAAGATAAGAACTTGATACCTCAAACTCCTTGCAAAATGGGTAGTGGTTCTGGATCCAAGAATTCCTTCTCCAAGCTTAGAAACTTCAAGATCTTCTAACTCCTTCACAATGCACAAAATGAACACCAACTTTCTTCCAAGGCTCAATTGCTTGACAATGGAGGCTACAACTCGTTTTAGGGTTTTGATAACAATGGAGGCTGATAAGGAGGACATCCAAAGGAACTTAAAGCCTTTAAATAGGGTGCAACACCCTAAAAATTAGGGTTTCCTTCCCAGGTGCCAACACGCCGTGTTGGTTCATTTAATCCCCACGATTCCTCCATTCTAGACACGCCGTGTTGGTCCCTCCAACATGCCGTGTCCAACCCGAAGTATGCTTTATTCCCACCAATTTCTCCTCAAGATTTCAAGTGTTATTGACACTTCATAAAAATATCAATTCTTCATCAAAAATCTTCGTTTATTCATCAAGATGTTGTGATTCATCATCAACAACATTTATTCGTACTATTAAATATAAATCGTGATTCAATCTTTTCCATTTTCATTGACATCAAGCAAAATCGTTAAAAATAATCCATATTTATCGATGTCACATCGTTTAGCGATCATCAGTCATCAAAACTTCATCAAAAGAACCTGCACCAATATCAAACAAAAGATAGCAATCGAAAGTTCATCAACATAACCATATATTTGAAGATTTTTTTAAAAATCGCTTTTCAGTTTTGAAAAACTTCGTTTTTCATACATTTTTTCACAATTTTTTGATCTAAACCTACTACATATTGATCGATTTTGATAGGATTTGATTTGTGTTGTAACTATTGGCTTCAATTGTTAATTTTTTTTACCATAATTATATAAGTTAATTTATTTGCACGCCAACTGTTCGATGAAATGCTTAAACTAAATATATCACGTAATATTCACAAGTGAATATGCCTTTACACGAGAATCAATATATTTTTTTTAAAAACACAGAGCAAGTATGTAATTCATATGTGAATAACATATAAAAATTATATTCACATGCGAATACATGTAATATTCACAAATGAATATAGGTAATATTCACAAATGATAACATATTTTTTCGGAAAATAAAATAAAATAAAAATTCGTCGTTTTAAGGTCCTAAGCAAGTTTGTAATTCATATGTGAATAACATATAAGAATTATATCTACATGTGACTATATTTAATATTCACAAATGGATATATGTAATAATCAAATGTGAATATATATGTATTATTCACAAATGAATAAAACTGTCAATAAAACCGAAAACTACAAAATATATAAAATTAGAGATAAAAAAAATATTTGATAAGAATATATATATTTATTCACATACAACTAATCTTTTTAGGTTAATAAAATAATCATATAAGTATATATTTTTTTATTAATGTTATATTTATTTGTGAATAAATGATAACTTTTTTTTTTGGAAAATTATAAAAATAGAAAAACGTCATTTTGAGACCCTAAGCAGTTCCGAATGGCCGAAAAACACCGTACGTCACGGCGAATCTGTGAGTTTTGTAAATCACACCATTTTACATCAATATGTGAATTTCGTCCAATTTCGAGACTAAACTTCATTGCGACAAATCTTTTTGATGATGTCACTAAATTTCCATTCATACTAGTGATGACATCATCATGACATGTTATTTATTCATATATGAATAAAGTTTAGAAATCATTACGACATATTTACTGATGATGTTACTAACTTTAATCCCACTAGTAAAAACATGATTATAATCGGTTATTTTTATTTATGTGAATAAATTATACATGTTGATTTATTTATTTTGTGAATACAACCTTTATATATAAAAATAAATAATACCCCATAAGAATTGGTTTGTGAAAAGTTTTTTGTAAATTGTAAAAATATTATTTTACATGTAAATTCAACATTATACTAAGATAAACAACATTGTATTGGTTAACGAATATCATTCGCATTTGAATTTAACACGATCAAAATGAAGAATATATTAAATTGTATAACATTTACACATGAACATAAAAATATATTGTCTTCGTCAATGATATATTCTCAATTACGTCAACCAATCGTCAACCATTGGGATATGAACCAACCATTGATAGAAATGTTAACAATATATTGTTAGTTCATAATAATAACGATTTATCACATTCTAATTATCACATGGTATATTCAGACATGAATGTATAATCATATGTGAATATTATATGATATATGTTGTTTATATTGTATATTCACATGTGATATTACATTGTATATTCACATATGAATATTACATGGTATATTCACATATGAATATAATATGGTAGATTCACATGTGAATATCATATGGTATATTATACTTGTGAATATTACACATTCTAGTCACATCTAAATATTGCATGGTATATTCATTCATGAATATTACACAGTATATTCACATATGAATATTATATAGCATATTCACTTGTGAATATGATACAATATATTCATATTTAAATATTAGATGATGCATTCACTTGTGAATATTACATAGTATATTCACTTGTGAATATTAGATGATATATTCATTTATGAATATTAGATGGTATCTTCATATATGAATATTACATAGTATTACATGATATATCACATGTGAATATTACACAATATATTCACTTGTAAATATTAGATGATATATTCACTTATGAATATTAGATGGTATATTCATATGTGAATATTACATAGTATATTCACATATAAATATTACAAGGTGTATTCACAAATATATATATAATTTTTATATGTTATTCACATATAAATAACATACAGACTTACATATTTGTTTTGTGTTTTAATAATCATATACTGATTCAGGTGCGAAAACATATTCATATGTGAATCTAACGTGGTAATTTAGTTTTTGCATTTCATCAAACAGTTGGAGTGCATACAAGTTAGTTTTTTTTTAAAAATGTTAAAAACATGATACTTTGACTATTTAAAACTTACAAAATAGTAGATTGATAGAGAATTATATGAAATGTTTCAAAAAAAATGATTTGATGTTTTTCTAACCTTAATTTCGAAGTTTTGTTTGATGATCGATGTTAAATGAATGATATGAAGTAGATCTGTTGTTGATTATCGATGATGTTGATCTAATGACGTTGGGAGTATAATTAATCGTAGACGTTGAAGATATGCTCGTATTCAAGCAGAATTGAATGTTGGATTCAAAGAACCAAAAACGAATTTTTATTGTCTACTGTTAAATGGTGTTGATAAACGTGTTATTGACGAAGATCGATGATTGATTAACACTGGATGATATTGATTGATGATTTAATTGAAGAAATCTTGATGATCGTTGAAGGTTGGAGAAGAAATTTGGATGATGAACGATCGATTAGTCATGAATTTGAACTGTTATCTAATTATCCACAATTACGTATTTGTGATTGAAGGTAATTATATTATATTTACAAGTTTGTCACCGTGTATTTTATGCTAAGATGTTAATTAAATGATTGGTTGAGAATAATTCATTTATTGTCAACCTTTATTTTTCTTAATTGGACCCTCATATATATATATATATATATATATATA